GGTGACCCTTTCCATGGGATTCCTCGATCCTCAGTCCCCGCTTTTTGTCCAGCCCGCTCCTGGGCATTCTTCGTGGCTTGAGCTGGGGCCACAAGCGTTGAGTCGCCTCAGGAAGTCAGAGGTGGCTGAGCCCAAAGGCTGTTTGAGTCCTCCAAATCTGCGGTTAGCATGAAGCGCATGGGGGAAAACAGCTGGTGCCCTGGATGTGGGCTCGCCCTTTTATGTGCTGCCTAGAGGGGACACCAATAGACATCAAGCATTTCCCGCTGTCCCTGCTGCAGGAAAATTAAGACCGGGGCAATGACGTTAAAACCAGCCGCATCGAACCCATCTCGGCCCAATCAACCGTACGAGTCACAGCCCTTGCACGTTTCGCTTGCTTACCCTAATTGCATGACTTAGACGTTCAACCTGCTTAAGTCGGTCATGCCAATGGTCATCTTGCTGGTTCTCAGCAGGGAATGAGGGAATGCCCCCTATCAATCCCCTATGGTTTCCTTCAAAGGAATCCCTAGGTTCATTCGCAACACCCTGGGTCATTCCCTGCTGAGCACCAGCAAGTCATGAGGGCACCTGCTGGCCATACCCCGCATCCCATGTTTCTCGGGTTGCCGAACTTGGTGGGCCTCTTGGACCCGGGATTCATGGAAAAGCCACCTTAAAGGCTATGAGAACAGGGACATCCGCCAGAGTTCGGTTTGTGCTTGAAGGGAAACTAGGAGAAAACTAGCCGTTTCATGGGACCACCATTTTGAGAAACACCCAGCGGGAAGTCATAAACAAAGCCTTGAACGCTTTTGTCACTTGCCCAAAGGACCCTGCAAGGCGTACAAGTTTACCTTGGAACATTGGCTAAGCATGGTCCACAGGAAAACCAATGGTCAAATCCCGTGAGCTGCATGTAAGCAACAACATGTAAGTGCGTCTCAGCATAGGGAGCCCTTTTTGGAGTGTGATGGAAACCAAAAGGAACCCACCAGCAGAGGCCGCAAATTTGTGGAAAGCACGTCTTTCTTGACTCCATGAACCTTTCTTCTTTCGGGCAGCTGGTAGGGAGTCCAATATCAATCCAAGAGTCATTGCTCCAAATTCGGATCCCTCCAAATATGGTTCACCAAAACCTGGGGTACATTGTCCAAAGCACATGTTTCAGTGGTCATGAAGATGCAAGGTCTTGGGTCCCTTGCGCTGGTCCCAACGGAGCCCCCGAGAGTACGAGTGCGGAAAAGGAAGTATTCAAAGCCCAGACAAGCTTCCCAAATCGCCAGTGCCAGAAAAGACACCCAAAAAGAGGCACGCGTTGATTTTAAAGACAGCGCCCGAACTTCGAACTTCCGGGAGCTAAAAAGGACAAAACAGAAGGAACTGGAGGCATTGAAGTTCGCCCGAAAAACATCGCCAAGGCGCCCCCTAGGTTGGTAAACTCCGCGGCCACCGGTCGCCCATCCAGTGGCGACAGGAACTCTTTGAAAGAATCTGTGTCCTAAGTTCGACTGGCTGTGAATTTTAATTCGGGGCCCTTTGGTGGACATCATTTAGGTGCGGATTTCTGTCCACCAACCACTTTTCAGGGGGTTCCCCATTAAGATTCATAGCCAAATGTCACAAATTCGAAACGAATCCCGAGGCCGCAATTCACCAGGCCTTGGTTTACTTGCAGCGAACAGTTTTTCCGTCCCGTCGAAAAGGACTTCCGGTTTTGGGGATTTAAATGTGCTGAAACAATCTGACCGCATGCAAAAGCCGACCTTACTGGCTATCCCTGTCTCGAAAAAGGATGCGGCCTCTGAGAGGAGTCTGGCAGCTAGGGCACTCAAAAACAGCATCAGTCTGCATGCATCGTGTCATATCGCGTCCATTGCCCACCGCAGCACCACAAAGGGGGGCCTTTGCTGGCAAAACAGCCTTGGCCACAAACAAAACAAAAGCGCTGGATGCAATGAGATACCCACCTTTTCCAGAACCACAAGCATGCCCACCCATCAGAGCCATATCTGAAGAAAGCCTTTTCCGAAACTGCCCCCGTTTCTTCCTAGTCGATAACACGCCGCCAGACCTGGGGACCTGTCTGACTGGAGATATTTTCGTTGCAAGGACCTCAGCAATTCAACGGCCAGAAATCAAGTTCAGCCAGGCAACTCGTCAAAACTTCGGCCATGCCAAGCATCTTCCTTCACACAGTTAGACCAAAAGATCTTAGCCCACGGCACCTGAGTGGCCTGAGTGCTTGCCTAAAAACAAACCGGTCTTGGAGCCCACTTTTCGACAGGTTGCGACCTCTATCTGTCTCACACTTGGGCAATTCGTCGCAGCGTTCCTTCAATCAGGAAGCCTTGGGGATCCGCGTGTCCCGCGCAATACCGCAGCACCATGGATCGGAGAGAAGCTCAAAACCAGGTGCATATTATCCGCAGAACGGTCAGATCCTGGAAGCTGAGTGAAGACCTCATCCAGGACAGCTTGCGGCTTTCCGTTGGGATGTGGATGAGCCAAGGAAGGAGAAAGCCAGAGGCATGAGCAACTGAGCAAGCACAAAATGTTCGGCGTTGGAGGGCGCTCTCAACCGCTGTCTCGCGCCTAGCCTGTCCGGTGCTCCAGGGCCTTCACTCAACAGCCTCAAGCGGACACCAGCCTTGGCAAGCGCATCGGAGGATACCTTGCTTGCGCTTTCTGCTCCTGCAGCTCGGCACGTGCGACGAGAACGCCATATTTGCGCACCCTCAGCACCACGCCAAACAATGGCGCGCAGCAGCGCACCACCGCACAATCAGCTGTTGCAGCTGTCGGATTGAATTCAAAACCAACAGAGGCAAGCTCGAAGCTAGCTCAATGAGTTGTTCCAGCGGTTCGCATTGAACACCATGGCGTTTTTGTGCCGTGTTCAAGGGCGACGCCTTAAATTTGCAACACTTCCACACTCAACTGCAAGATGCTTTGTGGAGGGCGGCTCCCGTCAGCCCCAGCAACACCCGCGTCACCCGCATATCCCCCCCACCCCCCCGGCGTCACCCGCTTTACACCCCCCCCCGCCCACACCCCCACACCAGCACCCACACTGGCACACTCGCACACCCACACAGCCACACTGCCACTCAGCTACACACCCACACGTACGCATAGACACACACACACATACACACATGCACACGGTGTATATATATATATATCCAATGCATATATACATATATATATATATGTTATGACACACGTACATGTTGCATGTTGGTTTGTCTCAAGATTCGGGAAAGATAAAGAGAAAACGTGTTCCGCGTTCGCCACGTTTGCCAGGTGCCAGGTGTCCACGGGCGGACTGTCAAGATGAGAAGCCTCCAGGATCACGAACTCGAAGTGCCTGCAAGCCATGCTTCGAGATATGTCCCCAGTTGCAACCGAGACAGCCAGAAAACATTGTGAAACCAACGTTCGGGTTGACCATTCGCAGGAATGTAGTCCTTGTGTTCACCTTACCTCACAGTAAATGTATACATTGAACATGTTGTTTTATTGGGAACCCTCTAATGGACATCGTTGGAGGCTAGTTGTGGACCATTTTGGAGATCGCTGAGATGCATGGCCCTATTGTGTCAACGAGGCAATCAACGTCCTGTGTGCCCCAACCCACAGTGCAAACTCCGATCCGAGCCACCAGTCATGGCCGCCAGGATTAAACCCAATTCTTGGTCAACATTGAGCCTTGAAACCTAGGGTTTGAATCGGATCTGCCAACCAGAATCATCCATAGAGCAAAGGGCGAACAGAATAAGCCATGAGATGTTTCCAAGTACTGCCATCTGAAATAAATAACCGGCCTGAATTAGCGAGTCACCATGTAACTCCATGACAGTTCGTAACACGTGAAACATGTGTTTTGAGACGGGGCAATGACACGGTGTATTATTGGACCCTGAAGCCCAAACGGCCCAAAGCGGATACATTACAGTTGCGTGATGATTGTTTGTAGGACAAAAGGACAAGAAAAGCCACCTTCTTTGTTTGCGGGGGGGGGGGGGGGTGGGGGTTTCTTTTGGCACCCAGTTGGGAATCCTTGGAATCCTTGCAAGGCTGAATTAGGGGTGGGTTTCGCCTAGTAGTCACAACTAGTGGTTCGTTGACTCATGAACTCAAGGCTCGTACCAGCGGTTCATATAATGCAAATACACGCGTACTCTTTGATAGTAGCGAACAGTAGGCGAGGATGCCAGAAACACAACCTGATTTACACCTCCTGCTCTAGGCTCGCTCCCAACGAAACGAGGCCGGGATTCTTTTCTCAGACCGCTTTAACTCGACGCCCCAAGTTTCGGGATGTCGGAAATCCTACTGAGATGGTCGCAAGTGACTCACAGGATCCCTTGTGATCCTGCGTCTTTGCAGACTCTCACAGCTGACTTCACGGCTGCCGTTTGGAAGGCGTGATGTCAACTCTACGGGTGGAAGTTGCTGCATTGGAATCGTGGGCTGACGGTTTTCGCTGGGATGGGTGAACATAAAACGGCAAGTGTCACACTTATTCCAAGGGCTAGAAATCGGCTCAAAATTGAAGGTCCATGTTTTGGGAACTCAAATTGAACACATCGAGGCGCCACTGGTTATTTGCGCCATGGTCACATCTCGCGCAAGAAAGCAGCGGATCAGATACGTGTGCTTCATGGCTTCGCGGGTGAGATATACATCCGGAAGACCCGAGAAAAGGACCCCGATGCAAACCACAGAGCTGTGCGGCTCAACAAAGGCCCCTGGGTCCTTGACGCTAGAGCGCCTCGAATTTAGCGAGAATGGATGGCACACGGCAAACGCCTGGTTTCTGTTTTGCTCTCTGTTTGGCGAACTTCTGGACATTCCAGTGTTTTCTATGGTCCCCGACAATCAGGAACCACATGTCGTGTTTTTTACTGCAAAAAGAAAGAGCAGCGCGCGCAACCTGGCTTTTGGATCTATCAATATGGAAAACTAGCTTGGTTTGCTTCTTTCATCGTGGAGAAAAAACGCATTTGATTTTGGCAACAACTTTCAGCGCGGTTGCACTAATTACTTTGCATCATCCTCCTCGTCCGTGTCCGTGTCGCCCTGACAAAAAATACCAACATATTTTTGGAAGGCCCGGTCCTCCCGGTTGTGGGGACTTTGGTTTCCCTTCTCCGACCAGCACTGGGCTAATTGCAAATATCACGTTCAGCGACTTGTTTGTTTCCTGCAGCATAAACTCACACACATTATGCAACTCCCCATGTATACACCAAAACAAGCAACACACACTGACACACACATCCCAAACACCCCCAAAGAAACCTGATAGAAGCCAAGATGGCCTTGAAAATGTGCAGTTCGTTGACTCGAGCAATGTTGTCCAGGGAGCCATGCTTTGAGCGACGCTTCTGCGCTTCTGACCGACGGTTCAACCGACTTCTAAACATTTTTCAACGCAACACTCGTAAGCGACTGTTGTCACTGACACTTTTGAGAAACGCTTCTGAGCAAGGGCTTGAGCGACACTTTTCTGAGCGATAACTTGAGCGACACTTCTGAACGCACTTGCAAGCGGTATTTCGAAGTACGCTGCTAAGCGACACCTCTGGTTGACGCATCTCAGCGCCTAGCGCCAATCCTGCAGCCATACGTCTAAACTACGACAAACTCAGCGACACCTCTACACACACAAGCGAGACTTCTGAGCAACACTCCAAACGATACTGTTACACACACATGTAAGCGACGCTACTGAGCGACACTCCTGAGCAACAGTTCGGGCGGCATTTCTACACACATATCTGAGTGACAGTTTTGAGGGACAGTTTTGGGCGACACTCTGAGCAACAATTCCGAGCAACGCGTCTGAGGGATACTCCTGCGCGACACTGCTGACAACACCTCTGCGCGACACTTCTGAGCCACATGCACTTCTGCAGAACTTCTGCACGCACATCAGCGAAAAGCAACTTCTCAGCAACACCTCTGGAAAAAAAACATTTCTGGGCGACACTTCTGAGTGGCATTGCTGAGCAACACATCTAGTTAACACCTCTGATCGCCACTTTTGAGCAAGACCTCTGCGCAGCACTTCGTAGTAACACTTCTGATCGACACTGCTGATCAACACTCTGAGCGACACTTCTGAGCAACACTTCTGAGCGACGCGACACTTCTGACCAACACTTCTGACCAACACTTCTGGCAGATCGGCGCTGCTGATCCACGATTCTGAACAACACCTCTAATCGACGAATCTGATCGACACGTCTTCTCGAAATTCTGAGCAACGCGACACTTTTTGCGACACTTCTGACAACACCTCTGAGCGACACTTCTGAGCTACACTTCTACACACGCACATCAGCGACACTTTTCACGACACTTCTGAGCAACACTTCTGAGGGGCGTGACACTTCTGGAGCAACAATCCTGAGCAACACTTCTGATCGACACTGCTGATCGACACTTCCGAGCGACACTGCTGATCAGCCCTGCTGACCGACACTTCTGATCGACACTTCTGAGCAACGTTTCTGATCGACACTTCTTTCCGCGAAACGTGCTTTCTCGAAACACGTCAAAGCGTGCCGATTGTACGACAGGGTCAACGAAAACAACGCTCGAGCAACCGCTTGCACCTCAAAACACCTCAAAACGAGACCCCTGAGACACAAATCATAATGGATTTGCAACGCAAACGTGAAACACTGCGCCTGCGCAGCGAAACGACATCAAACATGCCAACAGCTAAATTGCAGCAAATTGCTTCCCTGAAAAATCCAAGAAACAGATTTTGTTTTTACTCTCCTGATCTTGTCTGGGACTAAGCCTCCGATTAAATATGGGCCAAACAAATTTGGCAAGGAAGTCGAGCAAAAAAACGAGCAAACAAATCCGGGCAATCAAGATTATTTTAAGTGGTCCCCAAATCATCACATTTAAGATAGCTTCCTCACGAAAAAAGAAGTGCGGGCAATCAGTCGCACAAAGGGGGTTGCCCACAAGGGGCCCTGAGCCTGTTTAATGTGACTGTTTTTGGGTCCTCTTTAGTGCCCCACGGCTTTTTGGGTTGCTGAAATTATTAGACCAATCCTTAGCCTTGTACTTTCAGGGTGGTTCACCTAACCAAGCTCTTCCAAGCTCAAAGGGTACAGGCCTTGGATCTAGGAAGTTCATTTTGCCAGTGGCCCCCAAACCACCAAATTTAAGATAACTTCTTTACAAAAAAGTACGGGCAAACGGTCACACAAAGGGGGGTGCCCACCAGGGCCCA